CGACGCTGCCGTCGTCGCTGTCGAACTCCTCGAAGTCCTCGTCGTAGCTGTCGAACTCCTCGAGCGACGCCATCGCTGCAGCGAGGCTGCAGCTCGCCAAGCTGCATGATGGGCCTGGTTTCCACCACCAGTACCATAAGTTGGAGGGAGAGGTCCTCCTCCTCCTCTTCTTTCTCCTCCTCCTCCTTCTCCAACATATGGTATGGTGGTGGTGGAAACCAGTCCCGTCACTGCAGCTGAAGCTGCACTCGGGCGCGCGGGCGCGCGACGCTGCAGCGCGCGAAGCTGCAGCTGCAGCTGCGCGGAACAAAAAACAGCGGCGGTGCCAACGACGAATACGATGGCGACGACGCTGACGACGATGGACCCCTGCTAACCAATCGACTGACCCCCCAAAGTAACATCACCCCGCAAATTAACCTCACCCCCAACTGAACCTCCGAAGGCCAACGACTGGATTGACCTCCCCAGGGCTGCCCCCTCAGGATAGGAGGAGGAGGGGGAGGAGGATGAGGGGGAGGAGGAGGATTGGAGGGAGAGGAGGAGGGGGGGGAGGAGGGGGGGCAGGAGAAGGAGGAGGAGGAGGAGGACACTGATGAGGAGGAGAAGAAGGAGAGGGAGGAGGAGGAGAAGGAGGAGGAGAAGGAGGAGTAGGAGAATGAGAGGGAGGATGAGGAGGAGGAGGAGGAGGAGGAGGAGAGGGAGTATGCGGAGGCAGGAATAGGCAGAAGGATCAGGGGGCGGGGCATGGGTGCCAACTGGTTGTCTTCCTCCTCCTCCTCCTCGTCATGCTCCTCGTCCTCGGCCTCCTTCTCCTCCTCCTCCTCATCATCATCATCATCATCCTGCTCCCCCTTCCCCTGCTCCGAGGTGCTGGCAGCGAGCGGTGGGAACCTGTGAAAATGAGGGCGTGCCAGAACGTCGTCCTCAATGTCGTCGTCCTCCTGTTCACCCTCCTCCTCCTCGTCATCATCCTCCCTCCACCTTCTTCTCCTGCATGCACTGCTCTGAATTACGTCGTCTTTAACGCCGTCGTCGTTGTCTCTGTCGCCGTCGCCGCCGTCGCGATGCTGTATCCGACTGAAACAGTGGCGCTGCAGCACTGACCGCGCGCGCGCCGCGCGCCCGTCACTTCCGCGGCTTCTTCGCGACGTGGTATTGGACTGCCAGCGCAAACGCTGCCTCGCGGTCCCCGCGCTGAAGCGCTTCCCGAATCATGTCGCACACAAGCTTCCACATGCCAACCTTGGTATCAGCATCGCGCTTGCGCGCGGCTGCAGCCGCGCGCGGGGCTGGCACATCACTGGCGGCTGCAGCCGCGGTCCTCGTCGACGTCGGAGGCGGTGGTGGCGGCGGCGGCGGCGGAGGAGGGGGAGTAGCCGCATATGTCGCATCCGATGCAGCGGACTTCGCCTTCGGCGGCGGCACTGGCTCCGAGGGAAGCCGCCATGGCGGCGTCGCTGCACTCATGTTGGCAGCCATTGATGTTCTGATCACAGGTGGTTGCGAACCACATGCAATAACATAAAGCGAACATGCGGGCTGCAAGCGCGATCGAAGCGCTACATCAACACGCCAGACACACAAAATGTAAGTCAGCGCTGCAGCGCGACGCAAAAATCTGATATCGGCACGCCAGACACCCGAACGTAAATCAGCGCTGCAGCACGATGGACTCCAAACACACGAAACGTAAGTCAGCGCTGCAGCGCCGTGAGGTCACACATCGACGGCGGCAACGCGTGAGAGGCACACTTGATCGTAGTGTCGTCGTGCTGCAGCACGCTTGATCATACCAACGATTCGCAATGACACCAACAGTAGCGAACATTGGGGGGATCCACCAACAATCCGCAATTATTATCCCAATCCTCCTCTTCCTTCTCCTCCTCGCCCTCGTCCTCGTGCTCGTCCTCCTCGCTGCCATTCTCAATCGCACTGCCGACCGTGATCGCACGCCCCAGCGATGCGGTCGACCGAGCGCGCCGCAGCTCAGTCCGAGTCGGCCTCCTCCCCCTCCGCATCGCCCTCCGCCTCCGCTTCCATCTCCTGGAGCTCATCCGCTTCGCAATCCTTGAGTTCGGCGGTGCACCACTTCGCCGCGGCCGCTTCAGCGTCATCCTTGCTGCAGCCGCGGTTTGTGCGGAACAAGGCCGTCCTGCTGCAACCGCAGTCTGTGCGGACGGCCCGCCAAGCTTGGAGCCGCTGCACCCAATAGATGCGGGTGCCGCAAGGAACGTCGGTCTCGTGGCGCCGCGGGCGCTTCAGCACCGTGCTCGCCTCTGCCGCCTCCGCCGCCTCCTGAAGCAATTTGGCCTTGATGTACTCTACGCCCTTCTCGTGCAGCACCACCTGCAGCTTGTCCCTCCCCCCCCTATGAGGTGGGGGAATGACAATCTGCAGCTCTGTTGCCTCAGTATCGCCAAACGGCGGCAGCTGCACTGTCTTGAAGCACTTGTCCACTGGAACCTGGCGACTGGCGCGGCCTGACCGCGTGGTCGGGCGGCGGCCTGGCTCCGCTGCAGCGAAGAGCGTCGTCGGCGCCGTTGGCCCCGACGACGCGGCGCGCTGATTTTTCAGCCACGTTAGGAACATCGTGCCTCGCAAGCCCTGAGCCTTGCCGCACGCCCACTTGCTCCAACCTGCGGTGGTCACGGTGATACACTCGCGGTCTCCGATGACCTCGACGGCCGCGACCAGCTCGCGCCCCGTACGGTTGTCGTGCAACACGACGCAGTCGCGCTTGATCGTCGCCATCGCGCGCGCGGCGCGCCGAGGCTGCAGCCCGAGCGCGGTCGCACTTCAGCGCCAAAATTGCTGCGATGGAATGATGAGGCAACATGTGCGCGGACGAGGTGCTCATGATGAGGTGCGCTGCAGCGCATGTGAAAGATGAAGCGAAGAGCAACGATCACATCGAGCACAACAGTGATGACGAAGCCGCTGCAGCGGCATGTCTGTGGGAAAGGCTGATGTCAGCACCAATATTGTGCAGTCGCTGCAGCGACGATGCTGGCGCAACGAATCGTTCCGCGCGCTGCAGCGCCGCGGCAAGTATCGCACTTCGCACCAACCCGCACACTGTTTACACCAATCGGAGGGCCACGCTCGGTGCCGTCATGTGCGCTCGCCGCTCCTTAAGCCCCCTCATCCTCCTCCCTATGCCAAACCTTACCCTGCCTCCTCCTCCTCCTCCTCCTCCGCATCACCCCTCCCTCCTGCCTCATCCTCCCGCGTGGTCCCTCTATATCGCCAGCTCAGGCCGTCCTGAGCTTCTTGGCTGGCCGCGGCTGCAGCCGCGGCCACGGCTTCACCGCCAGGAAGTCGCCCGCGGACAGGGCGCAAGTGTTATGCATCTGGGGCACCCCCACCTGCACCTTGTTGACGCCTGTCCCGAACGTCACGGTCTCCTTTCGGAGCTCCATGTTGGGCTCTGAGTCGGACTTTGCCACCACCCAGAAGGGGCTGACAAAGGCGTCGGGGCCCCGCGACCCCTCAGCGGGGGGCCCTGCGAACTGCGGGCCCACGAAGAACTCGTAGAGGCCAACCTTCCCCAACGAGATGCTCTCCGCAACGCAGCCCGTGCTGACCCGCGTGGACGAGGCTGAAATGCGACCACTCCCACCGCGTGGAGCTACATGGCGCGCAGTCGGTAACATCACTGACCTCGTCGCTACGGCCTGACGTGCCCCGAAATCCTCGCTACCTCGTGCTCAGCGCAGCGCTGCAGCGCGGCGTCGTCGGAGGGGGGCGCGGACGATTGCGGAAGCACAAGTCTGACGAGCTCACCCACTTTGAACGCTCGCTTGCAGCGCACGGCAGGTGGGTCCTGCAGGATCTCCAAGTGCAAAATGTTCGCCTGGTACTTCAGCGCTTGGAGCCGCAGCGCCATGTTGCATGCCCCCTTGAACGCGTCCATCGCCCAACCCTCGTGGGCTGGCGGCAAGTGCTCCTTCGTGAACGGCAACTGCTCCTGCACCCTGGACGTCAACTTGTAATTCTCGAGCAATATGTTTACTTCAATCCGCCCGCTCGGCTAACTGCTCCGTGCGCTGCAGCGCATCGACCAACCCATTGCAACTTAAGTACAGGAAATACAATATCGCAGTTACTACCTCCTCCTCCCCCCCCTGCTCCCTGCACGGGCGGCGGGGTGGCTGCAGCCGCGCAATGGAGATCTCTTCGCCCACCAGGTCGCCGTACAACTTCTTCTGAGCGGTGATCCCATTCTCCGAGATGGAGAGCACCTCGAAAACGTCATCCACCTCCTTCTTCTGGACGATGTGCTTCCCCACGTCGAACCCTGCACGCCGCATGCGGAAGACGTTGCTCTTCAGCTCAGCGGCCGACGACGCTGCCGCGCGCGGCGCGTCTGCATCGGCGCTCGCTGGGAACTCGGGTGCGCCATCGCCTTGCTTGTCGGTCTGCACCGCCTTGCCGAACTCGATCCCCAAGCTCTTCATCTGCAGCTGGGCTGGCTCCCCGAGCTCATGGAGTAAGACCTCTCTGGAGGGTCGCTGCAGCGACATTGAATGGCGAAAAGCAGGGAGGGAGGGAAACAAGGAGCACACGAAAGGTGGCGTGAGAAGATACCTGTGCTATATCTGCTACGCATCCGAAAGTGCGGTCTCCTGGCGCTCGCTTCTTCACCAGGTGCATGGCACAGCGGACATCCAACTTTGTGATGTGCAAGAAGCCCTGCTCCGCTCCGATATCCAACCTCTTCACGAGCGACCTTGCATCGGCCATGAGGTTGTCGGCCGCAGCCACGTCCGCCTTGCGGGACGCGACGTGGACGATCTCGTTTGCCTTGATCCGCCCATCGCTTCAGCGATTGCGTTTGGGAATAAAGCAATGTAACGGTGCGTGTGTGTGTGCGGGGGAGGGGGGAGGGGTGGGTACGCAGTTCTAACAATGCAGCGCAATGCATAGATGCGCTGCAGCGCATGTCACTACAAGGGGGCGCCGACAAGCTTATGGATGGTCCTGCACATGCTATCCACCACGTGCTCGCCTGAATAGTTGGCCTTCACGAGCGCCGCTACGACATGCGGGTACGACTCCTGGTGCTTCCCCCATTTAATCGAATTCAACTTGCGCCAGAATTCAGAGCCGCACATCAAAGTTTGCCCCGAGACGTCCACATTCGTGAAGGTCTTGAGGGCTTCATCTATTTCACGGAGAAGTTCTCCGTTTTGTGGCCCGAGCTCAACAAACTTGCACAAGTCAGCGATCCACGCCTTGCAAGGTGGGTTCGCGTGGCCCGCTTGCTCGGCGATGTCGCGCCAATCGGGCTTGCTGGAACCCTCAGCGAGGCTGTGTGCCAAGAGCATCCGCCCACCTGCCTGCAGCAAGCGCCGAGCCGATCAAGTGCTGCAGCACGGTAAGATATAATGCTCCTGCTCCTCGTTCTCACCTCCTCCCCAACGCGCTCCCACTCATCACCCTCCTCGTGCATCATCCTGGTCCTTACTACATGCCGCTATATACTATAGTGGGGATAGGCTGCAGCCTGACCGAATGATCTCGGTCTCGTGAACCGCCTCCCTGACGTCGGCGTTCAAAGCCCTCTGCACGAAGTTCTTGAGGCCCTTCACTTTGGCCACCGCGTGCTTGATGATCAACCACGTCAGGCCCTTTTTGACTGCCGTCGCAAGTTGCGGGTGCAACGCGCACAGCTTTTCGGAGTCGATGTTGTCCCGAGAGTCTGCCAGCGCCTTCACTGTGGTCGGCGCCTTGGCCAGCACGCAGCGGAGGAAGACGTTCGTGTGGGAGCCGCCCACTGACGTATACCGCAATGAGTCCAGCGGGGGGCACCGACCCCCGCTGAGCCGCGAAAGGGGGTCGTTCGCCATCGCGGTCTCTTCCAACTGCGCCCCCTGCGGGGCCTCGAAGGCAGCGGCTGCAGCCGTCTTGGCCAAGACGAAGCCCTGGGCGCAAATCTTCGCGCCTAAATTGCGAGCCCGCGCAGGGTTCACTAACGAACCGCTGCGGTTCCGAATGTCGATGCCCATCTGGTTCGGTGGGACCTGCTGGTAATACGCTAGCCCCTCCGCCAGCAGGAACTCCTTCAGTTGATCCCACCCCGATGCCAACCTCCCCGAGGAATTGCTTTCCTCGATGTACTGCAAGATCTGCTCCTCCTGACGCGCCTGCAGCGCCATGCCAGCGCTATATATAGCGCCGAATGCAACGTGCGAGCCCGCGGGCGCGACGGCGGATGCGGCGCGCGGCCGCAGCTTGAGACAAGCTGTCGCGCGGCGTGCGCGTGAACATCGACTTGCATGGACATGCAATTTGCGAGCAGAAATGTTGATCTGGGCTGCAGCCCGAGGCCCATGAAGCACGAGCGCGCACGCGCTGCAGCGCGATGCGGCATCACGACGACAACCATTTTTTTGCGCTGCAGCGCAAAGTAACATACGTGCTATCAAATTTGGAGCGCTGCAGCGCTCAATGCGACCATTGAAAAAACAACGAATACAACAAAACATAATTGACATGTGCATTCAAATTCCTTGCAAACGGAGCTGGGCGAAAATGAAGATCCGAACAACGTGCAACTAGAAAACATGCATTTAACTCAACATTCAGCGCTGCAGCGCTTCATCTTCAGCGCACGCAGCGCTTCATGTTCATATAAATCCGAAGGCAGCGCTGCAGCGCTTCTCATTTTTAAAGCAAAAATCCAGGACACCGACTCCGAATCAAAATGCAAAATTTGTAGCGCTGCAGCGCTCAACGAACAAACTCAGCTCTTTCAAGACGTGGATTTACCTTTTTTCCCTGTGCATGGCCCTTGGATAACAAGTGCAATGTAACCGCTAAGTCACTTATAACCTACTTAGCAAACTAGCTATAAGCGGTTATAAGTGGTTAGCTAAGTGCGCTAAGCACTTAGCTAACTGGTTATAAGTGGATAGCTAAGTACTTACTAAGTCATTACTAAGTGGGCCACTTAGTAATGACTGAGTAAGTACTTAGCTAAGTCCGCTAACTACTTACTAAGTACTTAACTTAGCGTAGTAAGTATGTTAAGTACTTAGCAACCGCCGCGGCCATCCAAGCAGGGCCGGTTTTGCGAGGATGTCTCAAGCGAGGGCGCCGGTTTGGGATTCGTCACCGGATCCAGCGGATCCGTCCGGAAACGGTGCCGGAGGCCGCTCTGCTCCTCTGGGCACCTCCCCCGGGGCCGGTTTTGCGAGGATGTCTCAAGCGAGGGCGCCGGTTTGGGATTCGTCACCGGATCCAGCGGATCCAGTCCGGAAACGGTGCCGGAGGCCGCTCTGGGCTCCTCTGGGCACCTCCCCCGGGGCCGGTTTTGTGAGGATGTCTCAAGCGAGGGCGCCGGTTTGGGATTCGTCACCGGATCCAGCGGATCGGATCTGTCCGGAAACGGTGCCGGAGGCCGCTCTGGGCTCCTCTGGGCACCTCCCCCGGGGCCGGTTTTGTGAGGATGTCTCAAGCGAGGGCGCCGGTTTGGGATTCGTCACCGGATCCACCGGATCTGTCCGGAAACGGTGCCGGAGGCCGCTCTGGGCTCCTCTGGGCACCTCCCCCGGGGCCGGTTTTGCGAGGATGTCTCAAGCGAGGGCGCCGGTTTGGGATTCGTCACCGGATCCAGCGGATCCGTCCGGAAACGGTACCGGAGGCCGCTCTGGACTCGTGCTCTTCGCGCCGGGGGTGAGGATGACGTGAGTTCCACAGAAACTCCTTCAAACGATGTGGGCGTGGTAGAAATGCCCGTTTTGGGCCTCCCCCCTCGCGCGGTCCATCAACAAGGGAAAGTAAGCAGCAAGAAGTCAACAAGGAACAGTAAGCAGCAAGAAGCAGAATTGTAACAGTGGAAACTGGAAGCTGCAACTGGTACAGGAAACTGCGAACCTTCGCCCTACAGCCTGGTGGCCCCACAAGGGGGCCGGCGGATTTCGTCCGTTAAAATTCATTTGGTTCGAATTCGTCCGGTTTAATTTCATCTGATTTGAATTCGCTGGTTTAGATTCATCTGGCTTGATCTCATCCGATTTAAGTTCATCCAGTTTTAATTCTCCCGGTTTAAGTTCATCCAGTTTATATTCGCCCGGTGTAAAATACTCCCAGAAGGCGTCCCGTGTAGGAAACGGCGTGTGCGCCAGAACGCCACAATTCTGAGCTCGGAATTTGGCCGAAGTCGGAAAGTAGGGAGCTGGAGTCGGGATCGCGGGAGTTGGAGTTGGAATGACGGGCGCTGGATTCTGAAAGTTGGCAGCCGTAAGCGGGAAATTGAGAGACGGAGCCAGAGAGACGGGCGTCGGAGTGGGAAAATTGGAGCTGAATTCGGAGAGATGGGAGCTTGGATCGGAGAGTTGGGTGTTGGAGTCGAAAGATTAGGAGACTGAGTCGGAGAGTTGGGAACCGGAGTCGGAGAGATGGGAGCTGGAATCGGTTGGGAGCCAGAGATTGAGTTGGAGAGTTGAGAACCGGAATCGGAGAGATGGGAGCTGGAATCGGTTGGGAGTCGGAGTCGGGGAGAAGAGCGGAGTCGGAAAGTTCGGGGTTGGAGTCAGAAAATTGAGCGGAGGATGGGAAATTGGGAATTGGAAATAATCATGGGGACCACAATAATTGCAATTTTGAACGACGGGAGCACAGCGCCGATCCGAGAAGGAGGCCTACGCTGTAGCGGCAGCACCTTTTTGAAACGCCGGAAACAATCGGATTGCACAACAAAACGTAAAGCAAGAACAGTTGTTGACATCCTCCGTGTAAAGATCTTCCGCAAAGCTTCGGTGGAGGAAGGAGAATAGCACCCATATTGTTTGACTGTGGAGGGAGGAAAGAGGAGGAGGAACAGCCAGAAATGGAAGATAAGGAGGATGAGGGGGAGCAGAGCGAGCACAAAGGCCAGAGGCCTCTTGGCTGCCTCTCGGCGTCTCTTCGGATTTTTGCTTCCTGTTTCGATTCGTCCGGTTTTCCATTCGCCCGGTTTAAGTTCGTCCTGTTTTATTTCGCGCTTCGCGCGTGCATCACCTATGCATCGCGCCTGCGTCGGCGATGCGTCGGTGATTCGTTGCGATCTCCCGACCCCTGGTCCCCTTATTCCTCTCTATCCTTCCGCTTTTGTTCCTGCTGCTGCTGTTCGTTCTCATCCTCCTCTTCCCGGTCATCCTCCTCCTCGCCCGCCACCTCCCCCTCGTGGGCATGCAGTTCCTGTTTTTCCGATTACGCGCAACACGGATATTCCCGGAAAGGGCGCGGGCTCAGGGTTCTTTTTTAGTATTGTTTTGTTTCCCCCCCGCTTCGGCCGGCTAAATTATTTGCGATTGATAACGAGGTAAAGTCCCATTCGGCGTGGGCAATTTGAGGGAATCCTTAGCGAAACGATGGTTTTTGAACTCCCAATCGATAAATCACCGGGTGCGGGACACATTTGGGTCAGGGGCACGAGTCCGTGTGTTTTACGTGTGTTCCTATAGATTGGCCCTCTCCAGGAGGCCCCCAGACGTCCCAGGTCACCCAGGGGGGTATCTAACATGGTTGCCCCGAGCTGGAACCACGTGTTTTTACTTGTCCAGGCCACCCGGTGGGGTATCCAACATGATTGCCCCGAACTGGAGCCACGTGTTTTTACGTGTCCAAACCACCCAAGGGGGGTATCTAACATGATTGTTCCGAGCAAAGACCGCATGTTTTAATTGTCCAGGCCATTCAGGAGTGTATCTAACATGGTTGTCCCGAGCTGGCACCATTTGTTTTTACGTGTCCAGGCCACCCAGGGGGGTATCTAACATGGTTGTCTCGAGCTGGCACCATGTGTTTTTACGTGTCCAGGCCACCCAGGGGGGTATCTAACATTATTGTCCCGAGCAAGGACCGCGTGTTTTAGCTGTCCAAGCCACTCAGGAGTGTATCTAACATGGTTGTCCCGAGCTGGCACCATGTGTTTTCATGTGTCCAGGCCACCCAGTGGGGTATCTAACATGATTTCCCCGAACAGGAATCACGGGTTTTCACGTGTTTCGGCCACCCAGGGGGTATCTGACATGGCGTCAGGCCCAACGCCGAATTACCAGGAAACGCCTGGGGGCCCAAAAACGCTACCCGAACACATATCCCAATCCAGAACAAAGTGTTGTTTTCTTGCTCTGGACAGGGGGGGCGCTTGGAGGGCCTCTCCAGGGAAGAAATTGCGAGGATGTCTCGAGCGGGAGCGCGAATTCAGTGTATCCAGGCCACGCAGGGGGGTATTTCACATGCTTGTCCCGAGCTGGAACCATATGTTTTTACATGTCCAGGCCACCCAGGGGGATATCTCCCAAGGTTGTCCCGAGCTGGAACGCACGTGTTTTTACGTGTCCAGGTCAGCCAGGTGGGTATCTAACATGGTTGTCCCGAGCTGTTTTTTTATTTTTACGTGTCCACGCCACCCAGGGGGATATCTAACATGGTTGTCCCGAGCTGGAACGCACGTGTTTTTACGTGTCCAGGTCAGCCAGGGAGGTATCTAACATGGTTGTCCCGAGCTGGAATCTTTTTTCTTTTTACGTGTCCAGGCCACCCAGGGGGCTATCTAACATGGTTGTCCCGAGCTTGAACCACGTGTTTTTCCCCGGAAAGGGCTTGGGCCCAGGGTTCTCTTTTAGTGTTGTTTCCTTTCGATTTCGGCCGGCGAAATTATTTGCTACGAAGAACAAAGTAAAGCCCTATTCGGCGTGGAAAAATTGAGGATGTCCCTCGCGAAACGTCGGTGTTTGAAATCCCGATCGAGAAATCACAGGGTGCGGGACACATGTTGTTCGAAGAAGTGCATCCCGTGCGAGCTGGAACCATGTGTTTTCACGTGTCCAGGCCACCCAGGGGGTATCTAACATGGTGGTCCCGAGCTGGAACCACATGCTAATGTGTCCAGGCAACACGGGTGGGGTATTTGACATGGTGGTTCCGAGCTGGAACCGCATGTTTTCACGTGTCCAGGCCACCTAGGTGGGTATCTAACATGGTGGTCCCGAGCTGGTACCATGTGTTTTTGCCGTGTTCAGGCCACAGGGGTGTATCTGACATGGTGCTCCCGAGCTGGTTGTCCCGAGCTGGAAACACGTGTGTTTACATGTCCAGGCCCCCATAAGGGGGATATCTAACATGGTTGCCCCGAGCTGGAACCCAGAGGGGGTATCTGACATGGTTG